TTAGGTGACTCCTGTGAAAGGGTCATTCGACCGCCAAAGGGATCGCGACCCACAGGTTGAGAACCGCTGCTGTAATTGGAAACTACCAAAAGGACAGATTGCCTTTGTGTGGAAATATGAATGATTTCTAGCTGGTCTGCAGGAATTATCCATGGTCATGTCATTATCAGGTGACTGGACATGTTTCAAAGCACTGTGCATGGACCGACTCATTTAATCCTTTCATCAACCTCCCGAATAAGGGTTATGGTATCCCTATTTTACAAATAAGGAAACTGAGGCTTAGACTAAACAACTTTCCATAATCACACACTTGTAAATGTCACACTCAATAAAAACACAAGAAACTGTACAAAGCACAAAAATGTGTGCGCTCTGGCAAGGACTATGAGAGATGCATCACAATGATCAGCCTTAATAGCACAGTTCTACTTACCTGGATAACTAGGGGTGTTATCAAAGGTCATATAAAGAAAGGGTGATCTATTATTTAAAGATTTGGGAACATAAAGTTAAACACTTTTTTCTTGTCAAATATTTCTGAACTTTTAATATGCTGTTATACTTTATGTCCCAAGAGGGAATGTAGTTTTCCCAACAATTTGACCACAGATCTCTCCTCTTCCCCCTTCTAAATACAATAGCATCTTATGGGGCCAGCACTCCAGGAAATGCTTTGGAAAATACTGACATGAATATTAATAAGGTTATCTATTGCTAATACCAAATCTCCATGGACTACTTAAATACCACATTTATTCATGAAAACATTCTCCCTCATCCCCAGAAGAAATGTGTTTTTTTCCAATCTTTTTTGCAATTTCTGATCTATAGTAGTTAATGATATAACCTGTAACTAAAGAACTTTTAAAAAATATTATATATATGTAAAAATATATAATTATTTATGTGTATATGTATGTATATCGGAAAACACATACACATAAACACCAGAATTTACATATTCAAAATGAGCTCTCTTCCATGGGGCCAAATAACTTTTTAAATTCCTTTTTGGAGTTGGCTTTAAATAATTAAATTTTAAGTATCCCAATGATGTTCTCATCTCAGGATTGAAGAATTTCTGGAAAGAACCAAAACTATGTGGAACAAGTTGAATTTGAGACTATCAAGTAATGAAATTTACTTTCTTGTGAGACTTAGAAATTGATTCTAACATATATATATATATTGAATATAATGAATATAATTACATTCTTTAAATAGGGATAAGGGTGATGTCATGCCTATTTTGGGGAAGAAAATGCAACTTGTTATATTAAGTGAAAGGATATAGATATAGATAGACATAGCCATAGCCATAGACATAGACATAGACATAGACATAGACATAGATATAGATATAGATATAGATATAGATGTAGATATAGATATAAATTAGATAGGTATAGGTATAGGTATATAACTTCAACAAGTTAAATATGTGAAACCCTTGTGTATAAGATAATAAGTAATAAAATAAATAATGAAAATAAGAAAGTGAATGTCCTGCATTGCAGGTAAAAATGAAAAACAAACTTCACAGCAAAAAGAAAAGAAAAGAAAAAAGAAGCTTCTGTTGTCAAAGTAGGGGCGGGGAAGGGCAATATCTTCTGTTTGAGCCTTTTTCTTTTTTGTCCCTTGGGTATCCTTGGAGTTATATTTGCTAAATCCTAGGGCTTCCCTGAAACATTGAATATTAGAAAACTGACAGTGTTTCATTTCAGGCAAACCTGGATTTGAATCAGACCGTTGACAGACGAGTTACCTCATCTCTGAGTCTCTGTTTCAGTTTTCTCCTCTAGAACGTTATTGAATTGAGATTAAACATGACAATGCAAAGAATGCACTTGGCCTAATGCCTGGCACAGCCCCTATTTAAATGGTGACAATGCACTGGGTAACTAGAATTTAAACATCAAAATGTTTTAAATTTGTGAAAGCACTTTTTGCCTTGATTTCTAGCTGTCTTTACAAATACTTTTAAAATATTCCTCCACCATATTTATTAAACATGTCCTAAGCACAGACCACTCTGCCAAAGATGAGGGACACAGAGATGAAGTAGATAAGTTGTGTCCTGAAAAGCTTATTGCTGAATGGAGAAATGAAGCTTATACCATGTTATAACACAGTGAGAAGAAACATTTCCCAAAAAGATAGAACTCTGGAGAAACTTACAGAGTAACAGGCCGATGCTGACAAGGAACAGGAGAGCCTTTGGGGAGGGGGTGTCAACTGGAAATGAATGGAAAGAGATGCTGTAAACAATAGGAACACTAATAAGACAAAGAATTGAGGCCCAGAAAGTATAGAGTATTTTCAGGGAAGGCCTAGCTACTGGTTCTGTTGGTTCACAGTTCTTAAAAGAAGTCACAAGTAGATTCTAGACAGATTTGTGAGGCCTGAAATGCTGAGTGAGCAAAAGTTGACCTTTATTTTTATATATGTATAAGCAATGGTGAGCCACTGAGAGTTTTGAACATGGGAGTGGTAGGATAAATGCCATATTTTAGGAAACATAATCTGGAAGCACCTGATAGTGTGTGTTGGAGAAGAAATGATCAGAAGCAAAAACCCACAGGAAAGCTTTGATGTAACCCACAGAAAAACGGAGGTGCACCCTGTCAATGGAAGAAAGGGCATACTGGTGGTAGAAAGTTGGGAGTGTAGAGGACTTCTTTCAAGGTTGTGTTTCTTTATCAAGCCCAAGATTATAACAGATTTTATACTCTTTGGGGGGAGGTGTGATTTGGGGCATGCTAATGGAGGTAATCAAGGTTAGAGGCTTTGAATCCTTTCCTGAACAAATGCTAAAGAAGACCTTGTCTAGGAAATTGTCAACAAAGATGCAAGGACAGGAATGAGTACGAAAAACTTGACAATAGCTAAGTCTAGTGTTCTGTTTTCTGTCCCTGCCATCTTTCTTTAGCATTTCCCACTTGGCCAAATCTATGACTTATATAAAAACTTCCCTGATTCCTAGAATATCTGTTAAAGGAAAGTTTATTCACAGCATTTGCCTTCCATGACATTGATGATGAGTGGATCCAGTTCAGCAAATGAGGGGAAAAAGTATTCTTTGCTTTTTATAAGGTTGTTGGTCATTCTCAGAATAAGTGAGTAAGTCATTTTGGGTTAGTGTGTTGACTACTTGACTATTATACAATCATGAATAATAAAAATGGGGTCCTTGAGGATAATAATTAGGACTCACTACCAAATAGTCTTCTGTGGCATGTGAGGAAGTAGGACATTGTCCAACTACTGTAATGTTTTCACATGTTGAATTGGTTCTAAGTGTTGGGTTAAACACTGTAAATGAAAATTTATTCAAGTTACTGGAGTCTCTTATAGGTAACATCTTAATGACTGAAAGATTATTCTTCTACTGTGAGAGTGATTAAAAGGTTATTCTCCTACAACACATAACATATTTCTTAATTTTTATGGAAATATTATTTAAACTTACACTGAAGTAGGGAGATGTAATATAATGAACACTATGTATCCTTAACGCTGCTTCAATAATTATCAATATTTCATCAAACATTGTCAACTGTTTTATTATCTCTCATACTTTTTATTGGAATATTTTAAATTAAACATTTAATGTGTAAATAATTTAGTATGATTTTCTAACTGATAAGAATTATTTTTGACATAATGAGCATGTATTTGTCATAGACCCTAAATATCATCTATTATTCATTCCATATACACAGGTCTCCAAATATTTCAAAGATGTTCCTTTACAATTAGTTTGTTCAAATCAGTATCTTAACAAGGTTCACACATCCCTTTTGCTTATGTCTTCAACAGTCCTCAATTTTTTCTTCATGTTTATTAATTGGGAAACAAATTTAATTTCCTATTTTATAACCAGTTTTTCTACACTATTTCCTACTTCTAAAGAAAAATCATAATTCATTCAACAGTTATTCAACTACTGTATAATGAACAATTGCTATGTTATATATAGGATAGGGTAGTGCTGCTGATAGTGATTCAAAGATGTATGTGAATCATGGCCTCTACTATTAGGACATTACAATCTGGAGGAAAGGGAAAAATAATACTGCACAAATATAATGACAACAACATAACATAGAATTAAGTGGTATAAAATACTATGGTTCTAAAGGCAGAGGCATTGTTTAGAAGATAAAGGGAGCCTTTTTAGAGAAGTTGGCATGTAACATAGATGATTTAGAATGACCAAGTCAAGAGGCAGTTGGATTTTAAGAAGGGTAAGAAGAAAAAGTTTATTCCATGATTGAAAAACCTAAAGAAGAAAAAAAAAAAGAACATAAATCTTAGAGGTGAAGGAAGTAATAGATACATTGAAAGGATTGTAAATTAAAAACCTTAGCTGCAGCTGGACATTTGTGAGCTACACAGACAGGTAGGGGGAGAGGAGGAAGGATCTTCAATGCCAGGCTAAAGAGCTTGAATATGTCCTCAAGAGCAGAGAGCCGTTAGCCCCATTCATTTTTCCAAAAACTGGAGATTCTTGACACGATGTAAACACAGATATTCCATTAGTCAGCAAAAATGCATCAGCTTTTTAAACAAGGAAATTTTAAAACTGTTTATGCATTCCAATAGCAATCATTTTCAAGTATTTATAGCAAGTTGGCAAGATAATTTAATGTTTTATTTTGCCCAAAAGCTATTGATGCTCTACTTAGAGGAACACAAACAAATTGGAGTTGATTTAACCAACACATACTACCCAGTAGCTGAGAGGCCTTCATAAAGCAAAGATTAATTGTTTGTGGCATAGTATAAAACAACAACAACTCTACCATAGGAGAAGTAGATGATGATGTTATTAAAGATAGATGTACTAGCTCTGCAAACCTCAAGCTCTACATTTTTCATCTACTATGGAAATATAGTGAAGTTTGTAATATGTTTGAGTTTGACTGTTGTCTTTTTTTTTCTTTTGGCCTCTTAACAATAAACATATATTGACCCATACATTTTCTCTTTACCAGCATAATGTTAATTGACTTTCATCATTAAAAGATCCTCAAATGACAACTGAATTATCCAAGCCTTCAAAAATGTATACATTGAACTTGGTTGGTAAGTATTTCCTTCTTGCATGTTATCTACACTAATAAAAGACAAACATGCAAATTGACCATCCCTTTGCCATGCCTTAAGCCATGCCCACCAGCCAATCAGAGCGACCATATGCAAATTAACCCAACCAAGATGGTGGCTGGCAGCCACGGAGCTGGAGCGAGCAGGAGGCTTGGTTGCCCCGGTGATGGAGGAAGCCAAG